TGTGTTGCTCCCTGTTTTACTTCATTGTTCTCTGCCTGTATTCTTGACTCCTCGTGGTTCCTCTTGCTTCTTGTTTTTTTGCTTTATTTTAAAGTTCTTCGTTTTGTTTTAGCCTCAACAAGGATCATCCCTCCATGCTTCACCATGCCCTTCCTTAACAAATATGTAAAATTTTTATGTTTGATTTCTTAATCTCAGTTTCATATCTTATTGCTGAATTAGAGTTAAGGGCCTTGTCCAGGGACCCAACAATGAAATCACTCTGCTGCTCGTGAGACTGAAACCGGCAACCTTTCCGATTAGGGGCACAGAGTTCTGATGCACAGAGCCATTCCACAGGAAAATGGGCAGAGTTGGAATCGGGGGGGGGGGGGGGGGGGGTGAGTAGTAATTTTATGTAAAAAAGGGCTGCACTTGGAATTGCGCTTTTCCATAGTCGGTCAGCTTTTGGCCCCTTTTTCACATCTTCTATTTCACATCTTCTATTTCACATCTATTGTCACATATTTCAGACTGAAAGGCCATTATGTACACAGGTCATTCTGTTCTTCTTCTGGAAAGTACACCAGGAGACACCATAGACACAGACAACAAACAGCATACGTGAAACGGGAACGTAAGTCATCTTTTTTTTTTTTTTACATCTGTTGATTTTATGAAAAATCAAACCTACCAAAATCAAAGTTTTGTAATATATATTGTTATACAGTAGTTATTTTAGTGTAAAAACATTAAGTGGTACAACAGTGAGAATTACACTTGAAATTGTTAAAATGTAAATTATTAGAGGTATTGACACACCTTAATTTGAATTTATAATATTGTAATTGTACATACAAGTTATGGTTCGTGTTACTGAATACAAATGAAACTCCACTAATATAAATGGAGGATCCGAATTTTAGGCTCACACAGTTTCATCTATTGCATTAAATAGATCCTAATAAAATTTAAAATCCATTACAAAAACTTACATGACAATCTATTCTCCATTTAAATAGCATTAAGAAGCCTGGGATTAACGAGAGCTAAAACTGTAGACTGGAGAATGTCAACAGCACTCAGGTGTGGCAAACTGGGCCCTCCTGCTGTTTTCATGGAGGCCCAAGGTCACTACAGGCTACATTACTATCCAGAAGCCCTTTGTCTTGTCATCATTGCATTGTCTTTTTGTTTATCCTTGAGCACCCTGTGAAATACTTTGTCTTTTCTTGACCCAGGTGGAAGGTTATTAAGACACGTCTTTCTCCCTGTCAGCATCCAGATACAGTGTACAGTTTAAAGTCAGTGAGACACATCGAAATAAAAATCTCTCAGTCTTTACGATATAGTCTTTGACGTATATTTTAGATTCCCTAGTGTCCTGAGCACATTGCCTTCAAATGTGCAGGGATCATGTATTGGTTAAAACAAAGTTAGTAGAAGCAATTCCATTAAGATGTCATTTGTTTCATAAAGGCATTTCACTGTTTTAATTTTTGCTTTACAATAGTTGTAAACTCTTCCATAAAAATCTGTAATATGTCTGCCTTTAAGCAATAATTCAGTTATCCTGTAAGCATTTTAGCCTTAACAAGGTATGATTTTTTCCCATTTATTTTCAGCCTTATGCAAATGCAAATGTCCTCATAGTAAATTGTTTAATTGTAGTCATTGAGTATGTAACATATCGCTATATACAATCAGAATACCTTTCAGTTGAACTTTGGATGTTAAGTCTCTCACGGGATCTTAACAGATTTTTCATGTGTTTAAACAGAAGCTTGTTTATGATCCAGTTGTACAGCTGACAGAATTCTAGAGGTCAAAGCTAAACATGTATGCTTAAAAGACGTTGCACACACACTCGATAGAGCTCATGATAGTGCAGCCAGATTTTCCAGTGGCAGGATGCGACAGGACCGATGTACTGATGTCCCACAATTAAAAAGGTGTTTTATACTTAATATGCAGTAAAACCTGGTGATTCCCTATTTGTTCAGGTTTTCCCATATTTAATTAAGCTCATTTAAAATTTTTCCTGCAGAGGTGGAAAGTTCAGGTTCAGAAAATACCAATCTAAACCAATATTTTGTTTCAATCGTCCAGCTGAGTACTCTGCGATACTTTATGCTCAACTGGTCGGTTGTAATAAAATCTTGGTCTGGAATGTACCTAGTTAATGTAACACTTCTTGCAAAGGCTAAAATATACTGGACTTACATTTGAAGGGTTTTTGTCCCTGTATCTGTGATCACGCCTGACCCGAATGAATATTTTTCATTGTTGTTGAATGCATTGTATTGATGAATGAATCACTTTCAGAAGGTTCAGTTTGATACGTTGTACACTTTACACTCTCTACCTTGTATGAGATCAAAGTATCATTAACATACTATGTTTCAATCACAGTCAAAATGAGCTTCAAGGGAACATGCATCCAGGCCATAGGCATCCTTAGATGTAATAAGAGTTAAATGAGTACTGAGTGTGACATTATTAACAGTCAACAAGCTGCCTGAGAGTGTCCATGCAAGGATATCATAACTGTCGAGTCCATAATGTTCATTTAGAAATGTGCTAATATACTTAGAGTGACAGTGTGATTATGGTTCTCCCGTCCTTTAAAATATTTGCAGTAGCTGCCATCGTTTGACAGGCTCTTGCTGGCTACTATGACACTCCCTCTATGAGCACCTTAATTAGCTCCAGCACTTGGGCATTCCTGATCCTTTCACTGCTCTTCAGTGACACAGTGACCCCCTCCCCCCCCCCCCCCCCCAGCTGTCCTGACTCCCTGCCAGCGGTTTATTAGAAGCAGTAACCTGACTCTTCATTGTCTCCTAACATGGGCTATTATTGGACTGGGTTTCAGCATCCTATTTGACTGAAAGAACAAATGGATGCTGCTAAACTTACCTCCCTTCTCTGAACTTTTATAGCATCACAGCTGCTCTTTCATTCAAGGCTCGAGTTTGAAAGTTAAAAGAACCGGTGTGGAACAAGTTCTACAAAACCAAACCCAATGGCCACTTCTTTCTGTACCACCAAGATAATCATATCCATTACCATGGGTAAACGGAGTGCGAGAAATTTTGTATTTAATTATAAATGTATAAAAAATGAATACATTGGTGTAATGGTCTTGCCTTATTGTCATGCAACAAAGGAAATGCATCTCATTTGCACTAATATCACATGCTTAGACCTTAGAATTGTTTCTCCACAAAAAGGTCAAGGCCGTATTCAGTGTCAGAGCAGGTGCAGGCCGGCCAGAGGTGAGAGGCCATCATGGGAATATTTGTAATGTAAGCAGGATCTCAGCAGTGCGCAGATTTGCATCAACAGAGGATCTGCGATTAGTAACCAGCACGGCTCTCTCTCCTGCTCCTCACGAAGGTGTAAACAGGCTGCTGTGATGATGATGAGGACCAATGTGACAGACTGTACTCAGGATCAGGCACCGCAGAGGCGAGGAGGTACAGTAAGGGCACATTCCATCTTTAACGAAGAGGACAACTTCACCTTACAGGCAGTGCTATGATAAACTTTGGTAATAATTTTTTTGCAGAATTATATCATTAAAATGAATAACGTAACATTAATGAATACAAATACTTTGGCTTAGGTCCTTATAATTTCTGCAATTAGTATGTATGTATGTATAAAAATTATATATATATATATATATATATATATATATATATATATATATATATATATATATACTGAAGAGCCAGATCATTAACACAACCCAATGAATATTGGCGATTATCGTAAAACAATTGCGCTAATCACGATCTGAGATGTATTAAATGGCAAATGGGCAGTCAGTTTTCTTAGGTAGCAAGTTGGATGCAGGAGAAAAGGGCATAAAAATCTGAGTGACTGACAAGGGACATAACGCCAGTTGATTGACTAACCTATATAACTAGTCTAGCCAATTGATTGACTAACTTACCTGCTGTAGCCATTCTCCTGCTCTTGGTCCCTAGCTTCCCCCCCCCCTTTTGTGGTTCATCCAAGCGATGACCACATACAGTGTCTTGAAGCTTTCCCGTCAATTGTATTGAAAAGTGGTTAATTTCTCAAGGCTTCAGATGCTCACTAGAGCGTCCTGTAGGTTAAAAGAGCTTGCAGATTGATATGTTGCAACACAGAGGCTGGCACACATAAGGTCATCAGACCAGTGTTTGCAGATTCAGTATTTTTGTGCCGTTTGCAGTCCTAAATCTGTTTAGTTCTGTTTATATGGTCTCATTCTGTTTAGTTGTATTTCTTAAACATGTGAGGTAAAATGTTTTATAACATTTTAATGTTTCAGTTGTGTGTCACAACTCCTAATGTTTTTGTCTTCAATGAAATTGGTAAAACATCAGATAATAGTGCTATTACTACTAGTGTTTCACTATTGTTAGTGAGTAAGACATTTGCTTGTGTGACTGGACTGATGTACCTAGAACAGTGGTTCTCAAACTGGGGGCCGCGGCCCCCTGGGGGGCCACCAGATGGCGCTAGGGGGGCCGCATCGAAATTGTAGAATCTAAGAAAAAAAATTACCTGTATGTAAATCAGGCTTGTCAACCTATGTAAAATATAATGTATTAAAAAAAAAAAAAAAATAGAAGTATAAAAAAAATTTAAATATAAATTTTACGTAGCACACTACGCTGCTATGGACATCATAAATTAATGTTTTGTTGCACTTTTCAGACAATGTTAGTTTTACTGTCAAAACTGTTTTAATACAATGTTATATTTTGTGAAATGTAAATTTAACAAACCAGAGAAATAAAGACCACAAACAGAATCTAAAATCTAAAATTAAGTAAAATTGTAAGTTTGAGGATGTTTTTGTCTCGTCGGCAGGCAGGCGAGCCGGGAAGCAGGCGAGATCAGCCGGAGATACGGGTAAACGAGTTTTAATTGTAACGAAAGGTGAGACAGGCATGGACATTAACGTACAATACAATGACGGATCTGGCAAGACGTACTCAGACGCGGACTAAATACACAAGACTAGCCAGAAATAACGGGACACAGGTGATCACAATCAGGACTTCACACGAGGTAATGAGGGGGCATGGCACACAGCTGGGCGTGGCAGTTTTGCGTCATGATTTTTTTTTTGAGGAGGGGGGCCACAAAAGGATTCACCCTACACAAGGGGGCCTCCTGCTGAAAAAGTTTGAGAACCACTGACCTAGAATGATCACATGTAGAACAATAAATGTGTGAAAAGTAAAAAGGTAAAAACTGTGTATTTGTTTAAATTGCATCTGTTTCTATATAGCAGAGCCCCCTCAACATCAAGGAATCAAATCCCGGCCCCCAAAGTGACAAGCAGGGTTACTAATGTTTGTGGATCAAAAGGATCATCATGTTACAAAACAGCTGCATTAATAACATATCAGCATTACAGCTGCCTGTTATATTTCACCTTTTTAGTTGATACCATGCGAAATGTCGTCTTGTGAGGGATTTTGGAGCTAACCCCACCTCAAACTGTCAGAGTCCTTACTCGCCACGATCCCAACAATCTTTTTTTTGCCTAAATAAGCGAGTACTTTGCTTGAGGAAACCAGCCACAAACATTCTGTGGGTGACAATACCTTAGCGCTGGGGCCACCCATGGGGCAGTGTGACGAGTTGGAGCAGTGTTGGCGGGTGTAAATGGTTTAGTGTAATTGTCATGTCTCGTGTTGTTACTGTGTTGTCCAGTAATGTCATGTGTAGCATTAATTGTTGTACATAGTGGGGTGTGTGTGTTAACTGTGTGTGGTGTGGGTAGTTGGGGCGACCTGTACAGTGGGCTGTGTGTGTGTGTGTGTGTGTGTGTCGTTAAGAGTGAATGATATACGTATAAAAAATACCACCTTGTGGTTGAGTAAACATTGTTCACTGCCTCATTGTTTACCACAAACATTATGCCGCATCTGTATAGCACAATATTCATTAGTATTTTTGTGGAAAATAATAAGCACAAAGTTGTTTATAAATAAGTAGAACTGGCAACACTGAACCCAGTCCACTTTCACTGCATAGTCCCTACGAGGCTGCAAACCTTACTGACGCCATGATTCATTCGTTAAATACACGTCTTGATGGAGAACAAGAATGAATGAATGTTACATTTATGTAGTGCTTTTCAGAAGCAAAATGGGAGCCACTTCAGCCACCACCACTGTGTACCCCCCCCTTCCCCCCCCCGGGATCAGGCAACGGCAGCCATTCTGTGCCAGTACACTCACCACACAGGTTTCTAAGGTGGTGAAGGGGCAGGTGAGAATTCACCAGGAGATAATTAGGAGGCCAGATGTAATAGGGCTACAGTGGGCGATTTTTAGCCAGTACATTGGGATAGCACCCCTACTCTTTCAAAATATGCCTGGGGGGGTATTTTATGACCTGAGGGTCAGGACCTCAGTTTTACATTTCATCCAAAAGATGGTGCCATTTTTCCAGTGCAGTGTCCCCATCACTGCATTGAGATCCACACAGTGGGCTGACCAGTTGGTCAAACCAACACCTCTTCCAGCAGCAACCCATCTTTCCTAGTTGGTCTCGCAGTCGTATGATTCTCTTTCAAATTTTCATGAATGCTCTTATGCTATGATTAATGAATAATATTATTTGTTCATCTTAACTTCTAATAGATACTGCACGTACTTCCATGAAGAATGCACAGTGATATTTTAGAAAAATTTGTTAAGACCAAAAGAAAGCCATTCAGTTAAAAACCATTAAGAAGGGTTCACATAAAAAGGAACGGGGTCCAAATATTAATGGTGGATATGGTGACAGTCTCTAGTAATGACTTTTATAAATAGGTCAATGAAGAGAGGATGCGTCAGCTGCAAAATCATTTTATTCTACAGAGATACAATGTGGGGAGGACTGGCACACAGCATGCAGGTTTTCAGGACACGCCATCCGAGAGCTTTACTCTTCATCATGGCCTTTCTGTAATGGCAAGATGGGATTGGGACCATGGATGACAGAAAGAAGGAGGAAGATGAGAAGACTTGGTAACATGAGCACCACGATTGCGTCAGACATAAATGACATGAACATTAGAGTGTTCACATTAGATTGAATTGAAACCATGAGAGTGACAGGCAGACCGGTGCAGTGGCTGCAGTTTTGTGGGCAGCAAGCAGGTCCGTGCAAGTATGGAGGGAGATAAAAAGTGAAAAGAGGCCAGTGGTTTACCAGTCCATCTATGTGGCAGTCGTTTGGAGGCTGAAATGGAGCGATTGCTCCTTTGCATCACAAAGAGCCAACAGAGGTGGATCAGTGATTTCATAAGGCAGCGGTACTGGGCAATGTGACTGAGTGGAGGCCCTGGGGCAGACCCAGGATATACCAGAGGCATTACATCTCTCAGCTGACTGGGGAACATCTAGGATTCCCCCTGAAGAAGCTAAAGCCCGTTCGGCAGCCTTCGCCTTTAGAAGTGGCATGAGGATGATCATGCACACAAGTGAGAGATGCAGTTACAGCATGCAAAGTCCAAGCACGTTACCTTGGAGCCGACGTCACGGCTCTTGGCGCGCAGCTTGTTGACCTGCGACTCTGCGATGTCGGCTCTCTCCTCCGCCTCGTCCAGCTCGTGCTGCAGCTTGCGGAACTTGCCCAGGTTGCTGTTAGCTTGTTCCTCCTGGGTCACAGAAATACGGACCACAACACGCATGATTAGCCTGAGGAATTATGCTGCACAGATACTTTGGATAGGAGAAGATCTGTAACTGAGACAAATCTGACAGACTCAGTGTCACTTAGTGGTGACACAGGAAAAGCAGCACATCTGGTGAACCTGGTCACACTGAGACAAGTCAAACAAAGCTGGGGTTTATTATTATTATTTTATTTTATTTTTTTGGGAGGGGGGTTCTTGTAGTGGTGGTGAGAATGCGTACGGGGGCTAGAGATTGTAGAGGTAGTAGGTATTAGATGGAGGGGGAGCCGTCCGGGGAATACATTGCTGTTGTTCTAACACCATTTAGTTGTTCTCTTGGAAACTATCACAAAAAGGGCAGTTCCACCTGGGAGTAACTGTACCAAAATGACTAACATTTGCCACCACTTTACTTAAGTGTTCATGTAATACCAGCTAAATACTTTTGTTGCTTAAGTACTTTTAATATCAGATGTAATGTAAGACTTTTACTCAAGTTGTATTTTAATGAGTAGCTTTCTACTTTTATTAGAGTCATATTCCCAGTAAGGTATCTCTACTTTTACTCAAGTTTGGTTTTAAGTTACTCCGTCTGTATACTTACAGCTTCCTCTGCAGTGCGCTTGTACGACTTCACCTTCAGCTGCAGTTTGTCCACCAGATCTTGCAGACGGGCCAAATTCTTTCGGTCCTCTTCAGTCTACGCATTTGGAAAATGTGTTAATGTGAAAAATCAAAAACATTTTTTTATAGAACCAAATTTCTGCATGTTGCTCTCTGTGAAAGAAAAGTAACTCAAGAATAGAGAACAGCGGGACAGACCTGATAGGTGAGTTCCTTGATGCGTCTCTCATATTTGCGGACTCCCTTTATAGAATCACTGCTTTTCCTTTGCTCAAGTTCAAGTTCATTTTCAAGCTCCCTTACCTGCAATTCACAAATTAAAAATCATTGCCCACAGAAATCAGTATTGCAGTAGAGCTGTGAATATTAATTGCTTTGTAGTCTACAAAGCAAAATATCAGTTACAAACTAGATACTCACACGGGCTTCCAGCTTCTGCACCTGCTTCTTGCCCCCCTTCATTGCAATCTGCTCAGCTTCATCCAGCCGGTGCTGCAGGTCTTTGATAGTCTGCTCCATATTTTTCTTCATGCGCTCCAGGTGAGCACTGGTGTCCTGCTCCTTCTTCAGCTCCTCCGCCATCATGGCAGCGTCAGTGATGGCCTTCTTGGCTTTCTCCTCAGCATTCCTACACTCCTGCACAGCCTCCTCCACCTCAGTCTGAAGCTGGGATGTATCGGCCTCCAGCTTCTTCTTCTGGTTGAGCAGGCTGGTGTTCTGCACAGTCAGGGAGATGTGGGACAATGGAGATCCCCAGTGAAGAACGCACTATATCATCAGGACTAGACAGAGGACTATATAATTCTTTCCTTACCTGGGAGTGCAGAAGCTGCACCCTCTCGCTGACATCCAGAAGCTCCTGTTCAGCCAGCTTGCGGCCTCTCTCCGTCTGCTCCACCATGGACCTCAGCTCCTCCAGCTCTGCCTGCAGAAGGTTGTTACGTCTCTCCACGATGGCGATGTTCTCTTTCAGGTCATCGTTTGCTCGTAGGGAGTCATCCAGCTGCAGTTGAGCATCCTGAAAAACATAGTTTAACATATCTTGAAATAGGAATAAAAATTCGATGTTATTATAGAATTTATAAAGGCATAAAAATTGTTACAATTCCCAACCTCTTATAAATTGTGTGTTGTTACTGTACTAAGGTCTGTAAACTCCAGATTTACCTTCAGATGTGAATGGAGACCCTTCAGTTGCTTCTGAGCCTCAGCTGCCTGTCTGTTGGCCTGGCTGAGCTGGATCTCCATCTCATTGAGGTCACCCTCCATCTTCTTCTTCAGCCTGAGGGCTTCATTCCGGCTCCTGGTTTCTGCCTCCAGAGAGCTCTGCAGGGTATCTACCACCCTCTGTTGGTTCCTCTTGGCCTGTTCCATCTCCTCGTCCTTCTCAGCCAGCTTGCGTTCAATATCAGCCTTTACCTGATTAAACTCAAGCTGGGTTCGCAGGATCTTTCCCTCCTCGTGCTCTAGAGAAGCCTACAGGAATGGATATACATATACCTCCATCCATTGATCTTCCAAGTGCTTATCCTGAGCGAGGTAATTGCAGAGTCCAAGAGCCTAACATAAGGCAGTAATACACTCTGGACTCAGTGCTAGCCAATCACAATAGACATGCTTTTACCATTATCACACAATAATGATAGAGTAACAGTTGCTTAAAAAATACTAATATAATGCAAGTCTCCATTGCTATCTGATAGTCAATATAATTAGACAGGCACAAGTTTACTTT